CACATGCGTAATAAAACGATTAATAAAGTGGATTCTTCATGAAAATGATGGCAGAATTATTGCTGATTATAATCATTAAATTGTAGAATTTATTTTGGTACTTCTCATTTGTACTAATTATGAATTCATTTGGGCAATTTTTTTTTCATTTAGGAATAGGAAAATATTCAGTTGGCTGGATATATTTTTTATTTTCAACAAGATTAAAAAGTGGGGATTACCTGACCTTAGATATACACAGTATGTTTTTAAAGTCAAACATAAAAAAAATATTTTATTTCTAATTATACATGTATCTTTACTTATAAAATATGAAGATATCAATTTTCGTTGGATATCTGTAGCCTACACTGTTATGAATTCCTTAAATGATATCGCATATTTTCAGTCATAAACTACTCAATTAAAAAACAAGACATTCCTAAGGGTAAGCGTTACCCTCATTCGTAATGGCGATTACTTGATAAATGTTTTCACTTTTAATAAAAAGGACCAGATAAAGGGAAAATATATATATTCTATCTGCTTTATGTACATGCGGTTTTGTGTTTTGTTACTTAGTCCAAATGAAATAACAAAACTCTACTCAAATAATCCTGGCACTGGTAAAACATATCATTAGTGGCGGATCTGGTTCGTGGATTGATTGAGTCGCAACATCTGAATCTATGTATTTATTAAAGTTTCAAATCGTTGGACCATAATGACACATCAGAAATTTTAAAACATAGTGAATTACGTAAAATGTTACAAATAAGAAAATGGGAATGGATATTATAATAAACAGAAAGAACATAGCACATGTTTTATCACTCTTGAAAAATGCAAATAAATCATGTTCTTTATGGATCTCGAGGTTTGACAAATATTTTCCAAGATAACAAATTCTCTTTACATTTCGAATTCGTATGCATAAAATTTTAATTATTTTCCGAACACTAATTTTTTGTAATAACACTTTTTTACCCAAATCTATAGTCATTATAAAAAGAACATGACTTTATAGCAATATTGTACATGTGTATCAATGGCATCAACTAGGTGAGCATGACTACGAATAAATATAAGAAAACATATGATGAATAGAAACCTCAAGAAATCTTTGTTTTATTAGCGTGTGCAAATTTTTTATTGTCAAAATCTGCATTGAAAATAAATATGCATGTGTAGCCAAGTCCCAGCTAATAAAGTTCATCTTATATGTCTTCTTGAATTTGGTCTTACAATATCGTTACAGTTCAGTTGAATTGCAATCCAGATTTCGTTAGACTATTATATGTACCCTTAAATTCTTAAAAAATATTTCAGGCACGAAGCATCAGGAAGGGCCCCCACTTTTTTCCAAACATAACCCACTTCTATTGTAAATGTCCACTGAAATGCTGGTTGCCCCCCCCCCCCCAATCTTTGTTGTAGGATAGTTTAAATCAAAGTAATTCGGTATTATAATGTGTTTCGAAAAGAAAATGGAAGGCGGAAGCCCCCCCCCCCCCCCGAAATAGGATTTTCGAGTTTGGACACTTTACCTTTTTTTTTTTTTTTGCTTGTCAATGTTTTTTCAGGTAGGTTGTCAAAAAAAATTTCTGACTGCCCCCTATACCGATACTATACGTGCCTGTACGTTATAATTTTTAAATTTTCTTAACTCCTTTATATGCATTTTAACTATTCAAAATAGACTACCACCGGTGCATTAAAAACAACATAAATAAAGCTTTAATTCACACAAGTAAAACGACTGTATATTTTTTCTACATTTTCATGGAGTTTTATGAAATCACCACACGTTGCTCAGAAGTTAAGACTACATGCACTACTTTGTTACATACGTATATCAAAAAGTGAGATATGCGTTTCAATATTAAAATTTAAGTTGCACAATTATTTACTCGATTTTCTTTACTGTTGACTTCCAAAATGTTTTCGGTCAAATTCCACAACCCAGATGATCGCAATTAACATTGCTTCAAAATCTTTGTATGAATTGCTAGTAATCTTTAATCAAAAGGTATTATTGGTGTGTCAAAGAGCTATAAATCGATTAGCGTACAGGTGTTTTTCGTTCCAGAACCATGCAGCAGGGAGAGATCTCTGTATGAAAAGGTCACGCATGCACATCCTTGATTATTACCAAAAGTACACACAGTGGGTGGTGGAGGAGAATAGTGTGATTTGTTGTTAACTCTCCTGTATTATATCACATGTTGTTTTTATTTATTTTTATTTAGGCCTATATGTCATTGTTTTAAACTTTCAAAAGAAATTGCTATATAGAGGAATGACATACTTAAAAAAAATCCAACAATTAAACACACAGCTGGTAATATGCATCCCCCTTTTTTACGTTATCTATATTCTGTGTAGAATGTTTTTTTTTTTTCGGGGGTGTTCATATACTACAAGTTTAAGATTGCGTGCCTGTCAATTTATCTACATGTATAATATTCGTTGTACATATTCTTGAGAGTCTAGCGGAATTTTAAAAGAATCTTTTTTTAAAAAAGAATACTCGTTACTCCTCCTTTTGTATTAATTTATAATATGTTTCAAGCATCCAAGCCACATTGAGCTGTTCGATAATGAATATTAATGAAATGTGCGCAATGAGGATGATTTGCATATTATGTCGATGTTGTATTCTCACTCGTGCAGTTTTCGTTTTTACGTTTGTGCTATTTCCTCACTATATCGTGTAAATATTTTGTTGATTGTGCAGTTTTTCTATAGTTTGTGTAAATTTTAATAACTTCGTGTATATTTTCCTCACTTTGTGTAAGTTTTTACTTACTCGTGTAATTTTTGTTTAAGGTCGTGCAGAAAATAATTTTGAAGCAATCGGCGTGCCATATATAATGAACAGAGAAAAATCACAACTAATGAAATTGTTCGTTTAAAAAAAAAATACTGTACCTGTAAATATTTTGACAAATAAAAACATTTACAGGAAACGGAATTATGGTAAAGATCTTTTTAACGTTTTTTAATTTTTTCAGAAGTTTGTCTCCCGACACTTTTTTTTAAAAAAATTAGTTTGAAAATACAATATATCGGGTAAATGGCTACGACAATTAATCTTCAACAAAAGAAAAAATATACCTAATAGGGTCTGAATAAAAACAAAAACAAAAAAATCCATTTCCCTTGCTTTTTAAAATGATGGCAAAAGAGTGTGTTTTTTAAATAAAACTTCGTATATGTATTAAAAAGCATAATAAATATACACTACACACACTAGATAAGTAGATAGAATGTTAACTGAGGCGCTAACATTTCATAGAAAAAAATAATATATGCAGCGTTTAACCCGAGAAGAGCGTGCTAAAGTGTTTGCAGGTGTTCCTCTTGAAATAAAACAAAAGAATTTTGAAAAAAATAAAATCTTTCTTCTAGTGAAAATTTTTTGAAGATAGATTTACAAACATGAAAAAGTTTTCAAAAGATGGCAACAGCATTCTGTTGTCATCACATAAAATTGCAAATTAAAATTTCTACTTTTAGTATTAAAATACTTTTTTATACCCTCCATTATGTCAGTGGGATTTAAGAGTTTGACTCACTTTTGCAAAATTTAACCAAACTTTTAACCTTTGTCATAACTTTTGAACAGTTGGTGCTAGTGTTTTCATACTTCTCACGTGTATTCCTTGCGAGTAGACCTTTCAATGGGTATCAATATTTTTGACCTACTTTTGGAGAAAAAAAAAACTTTTAACTTGGCCATAACTTTGGAACTGTTCGTGCAAGGACTTTCATATTTCACATGTATTTCTTGTGACAAGTCCTTCCCTTGGGTACTAACAATTTTGCCCCTTTGACCTTAGGAGTTTAACCTATTTTTGAAAAACTATAACATTGGCCGTAACTTTTGAACGGTTGGTGCTAGGGCTTTCATACTTGTAATTCTTGTGACAAGACCTTCCATTGTGTACCAATTTTGACCTTTTATCCTTGACCTACTTTTGAAAAACTTCAACCTTGGTCATAACTTTTGAATGGTTGGTACTGGGTCTTTCAAATTTCACACGTGTATCACTTGTGACAAGGCCTTCCCTTAGGCACCATTGATTTTGACCATTTGAGCTTGACCTCGACGTTTGACTTTCTTTTGAAAAAAATTTAGCCTTTGTCATAATTTTTCAATGGTTGGAGCTAGAGCCTTCATATTTCACAGGTATATTTCTTGAGACAAGACCTTTCTTTGGGTACCAAGATCTGAAGCTTGCTGGTCTGAAAAGTTGTGGTGGATGACCAGACAGCTACAGTGCTACCCATTGGATAAAGAGTATATTTACTGCACACAAAAAAGTGCACTGTTTCTCAATTTATTTCTCCATGTATTTAAACTGCTATTTCAAAGTACATGTACATTTACTAACTGAATATTTGTAACACATTCTTTCACTATTTCAACATCAAAACATTTCCTACAACCATTGTTAATAGTCCTCCTGGACCTGAAATTGAGACCATCCAAAGCCTCGCCTATTAAAAATGCCATTTTGGGTGGCAAGACAATTCAGCCCAACTCACTTCGTGCTGCTGTCAACTACATGTACAAGAGTATTTGGAGCAGCTGAGGTAAGAATTTGGAGAAAATATTCAGAACCAAGTGCAACTCTTTGTGCACAATAAATATACAGTTTTTCCTATGGTTGGCACTGTAGGTCTCAGGTCTGTCAATTTATTTTTCGGGGAGTATAGTTCTTAAGCTGGTACAAATCCTTCTAGCGAAACTCAACACCTCTTAAAATGAGAAAAATAAAATAATATCTGGATATACTTTATTTCTGAACAAACAATGAAACAAATCAATCTATGAATTACCAACAATACAAAAATCATTTCAAATGTTTACTGCTTTCAAGTCCATAAATTACACAGGATTTTTCTCCACTTTATTATTCACCTGCAAAGCAGAACAGAAAAGAATATTTCAAAATGTGGTATTTTGCTTGAATGAACTTATAGAGAGCATTCTCATTTTGTTATAAAAAAAAATATTTTAGCATATTGTGGCAACCCAAAGTTCAGACTCACAAAGTGGATGATGCTACAATAATAACCCATTTTAAAGTTGAATATTTCTACAGAAAAACTCAAAAGTTAACATACGCAGAAATTCGGATTTCTTCCATGCAGGAACACACTAAATTCATAACTAAAAAGGTTTGCAATTAATTCACCAAAACAAGGAAAATCACATTGTCTCATTTTCCTTGTAAAAATCAAATCTAAATTGAGTTGTCATCCTTTTTTTTTTCTCTCTAAAATTGAATAATTCACCTATGATAATCCTAATTAAATTTTTTTTTCTGTTTTGGATCATAACTTTCGTTTTCTAAAAGAAGTTCTTTGACATACAAGTTAAGAATAATGTAACCCATTTTTTTTTTTTTACACCCAACAGTGTTCCTTTCATTACAGGCATACCTGGCAATGTATCAAGATGTTTTTAAGTATCACTGACAGTATAGTCAATCCAAGCTTCTACACAACCATGAAGCTATTTTCGCAAAGGTATCTAGGAAACTGAAAACAGAAGCATCATCTTTTATGTAAATTGTTTTTTCGAGTGACATTGACATCCAGATGCCACTAACCTTGGATTCTCTGGGATGTGCGAATTCTCTCGCACGTATTGGTAGGTATCACCAGCATCAGAGAAAGAACTTCACTAACCTCCTTGTCTTGATGGGTCGAAATTTAAACCAATTTTTCACTAACCTTTCAATTTCAGACTGCACAATATCAAATGAATCCTGTTCTTAAACTTAGCACTGAAGCCAGTTTTCCCTATTTTTGGAACATGAGTGAATTTCATGCACATTTTAGTATATCTAAACTGAAACTGAAAAACTGTCCAAGACAACAATGTGAATACCTCATCATAAACACTTTTGTTCCTCTCTTTTTTTTCCTTGGCAGGAGTAAATTGGTCTGAATACTTGAAACTCACCTTTTTAAATCCAGGGTTTCTACTCCTTAACATCTTGATACTACATAGAACTTGGATATTTATAAAAAACAAGAGGCCCATGGGCCACATCGCTCACCTGAGAAACTTTGGCCATGCTGTTCATTACCAGACTCCCCCCTTGTAATACCTATTGTGGCCCCACCCTCCCCCCAGGGGCCATGATTTGAACAATTTAGAATCTACACTACCCGAGGATGCTTCCACATAAGTTTCAGTTTTTCTTGTCCAGTGGTTCTTGAGAAGATTTTTCCTATATATTTCAATGTAAAACTTGGGATTCCCCCATTGTGGCCCCGCCCTATCCCCTGGGTCATGATTTGAACAATTTAGAGTGTACACTACTTGAGGATGCTTCCACATAAGTTTCAGCTTTTCTGGCCCAGTGGTTCTTGAGAAGAAGATTTTTAAAGATTTTTCCTATATATTTCAATGTAAAACTTGTATTTCCTATTGTGGCCCCGCCCTACCCCCGGGGGTCATGATTTGAACAATTTAGAATCTACACTACCCCAGGATGCTTCCACTTAAGTTTCAGCTTTTCTGGCCCAGTGGTTCTTGAGAAGAAGATTTTTAAAGATTTTTCCTATATATTTCAATGTAAAACTTGTATTTCCTATTGTGGCCCCGCCCTACCCCCAGGGGTCATGATTTGAACAATTTAGAATCTACACTACCCCAGGATGCTTCCACATAAGTTTCAGCTTTTCTGGCCCAGTGGTTCTTGAGAAGAAGATTTTAAAAGATTTTTCCTATATATATTTCAATGTAAAACTTGGATTCCCTATTGTGGCCCCGCCCTACCCCCGGGGGTCATGATTTGAACAATTTA